ACACAAAAAGGAAACTAAAATACCTCCGACAGAAGGTAGCGATGGAAAGCGTGAAGAAAAGTATATACTACAAGAAAACAGAGTTATCAGCAAAAGGATGAGTTCAAAATATAAATTACTAATTAGGGATACTAAAAGCAAACAAGTACGGACATTTTAATATCTGAAAAGAGCTCGAACAGAGGACGAAAAGTGCGACACTGAGATCCGAAGACGCATTCTAGAAGATAAGCAAAGTATTAAGAGACAGGAAAATTTCGTTAGAAAGAAAGAAAAGAGTACTGAACTGTTTCATGATATCTGTCCTCCTGTATGGCAGCGAATTCTATATAATCTCCTCAAAGATGAAGAAGAGACTTAAAGCAACAGAAATTTGGTTCTACAGAAGGATGCTGAGGATACCATGGACCGAACGTGTGAGCAGCAACGAAGTTTTGGAGAAAAGAGAAACAAAAAGGAAACTTATATTTAACATCAGGAAGAAGTACTTGAAACTTCTAGAGGACGTAATGAGGAAATTGGGGTCATGGAAAATCTGATAATAGACTGGGGGAAAAAGGGTCAGAGGAAATCAGTGTATAATATATTTAATGGGCATGAGCAAATGGATGACAGAACGGGGTTTGGGAGAAATCACAAAAAGACAAAACTTTTTAAGAGTTACAGGCGACAGAAAGATGTGGAGGGCCATGATCACCAACACCCTGAATGTACACTGCACATAAATGAAGAAGAGTATATTATGTCTTGTCTAGTCATATTCAGTTGGTAATGTAACGGTTACTTTTCTGTCGATAAAAAACAGTTATTACTTTCGTGGGATCTTATATAATAGCAAAATGGAATTACAAATTCCATTCACAATTGAGAGACGATATCTATTTATGTTTTAATTTTAACGTTAAAAACGTATCCGTTCATATCTAATTACCTAATATGTTCAATATAATTTTTCCACTTTATGTCAGCGGAAGACGTTGTCCGACAACTTGCAACGTGTCACTCTCCAGGAGGTTAGCATCAGCCATGCTAAATATATTAATATTATGAGAAGCGCTGACGAATATAACAGTGAATGATATCTTGAAGAAGTGGAACCAAAAGAAATAAAGTCAGGTAGGTATTTCTTTTTCATATTTAAGCAATAATTCTTTGAATTTACGAAGATATTGTCGAGAATTCCAGAGTTTTATAATTTCGTTTGCACTGAAAATTTAAATATATACATGTTTCTGCAGATTACATATTTTCTCATTTGCTATTTATATACTTAACTTTATTCCAAATGGTTTTCTTGTACCATAGTTCATTTTTATTGATTTATTCTTTGCTTGCAGTCAAAAATGGTCGATCGTCAGATTTAAGTCCATTCTCGCAACGAACCATAAATGATTTCCTTTCAAACGATGTAAGGTATTTTTGGCAAGAACCGAAGCAGGTTATTAACCTGGTTGGTGAATAGAAGCCTTTTTTTTATTTCTTTGTTTACTACTTTGCTTTTCATTTCTTTCAAGTACTTTTTATTCATTTATATTGCTTTATTGATGTACTTTGTTAACATTTAGCTTCGAGAAGGAATACATTTATATCGATTTAAAGTTTACAGCAGGTAAACAGGGTTTACTAATTGTAAAATGGTTTTGAAACCGGTGAAGTTTTAGCTGACGAACAGCTATAAATAATTTTGTTTCACAACCTTTGGCAATTTATTGAATTTTCTAATATTTTTGTCAGGAATGTATTATATTTATTTCTTGTTTTGAAATTTCAAATGTTTCACTGATGTGGACTTAATTATCGTTAAAAAGAAAAACATTAATTATTTTAAGTAAGTGTAGAATAATAAATAATAAAGATTACAAAAACTACACATAACAAATGGCTATAATAATAGTTTATTACGCAATAAGAATAATGTTTTCAATGATAAAAGGTAGAAGAAGATGATATTAGCAATATTATTAATTATTTCCGTGTTAACAAATTAATTAATGGGGTTATATTTTTGGAATGCAAAGGAAAACATTAAATTCATTTATTGGTTAACATTCAAAGAATTCATCTCAACATGATTCCATGATATATGAGAGAAGTTCTTTGTTAACTCTGTGATATTTACAATTATGAACGCATCTTAAAGACCACGTTTTAAATTATTTGGTTAATTGCTCAAAGAAGGAAAAGGACATGAAACGTTGAAGTTGCTTTATTGCCTATTTAATAATTTAATGAAATGTTTCAATCTGTCCAACGATTGGAAGCATTTTGGAGTTTTGATTCTATGTAATTTCTATGCCACGTTTCTGCTGTTAATCATTTCATGTAACAGATTTATCTTGAACAGAAATGCTTCTTCGGTTGAAGGCAAAGTATGTCTCTTTCCCTAGTTCTTTTGATCTCTCTCTTTCTCCCTCTATCCATCTATATACACAGAGGAATGATGAAATGTTCAGGGTCTAAGTCACAACTTCAAATCTAACATCCGAAATTTAAGTAGTAGGGACATTTGGATGGGAGCCCAACTCTCTAAAGCACAATAATATATATATATATATATATATATATATATATATATATATATATATATATAGAGAGAGAGAGAGAGAGAGAGAGTGAGAAATAGATAGATAGATAGATAGATAGATAGATAGATAGATAGATAGATAGATAGAAGGATAGAGAAAGAGCGAAAGGAAGAGATGTAAATCAATATTTCCGAAGGGTAATTTATGGAAATTTATTTTACCCAACGAATATCTCTTTATCAGTAATATTTCCTTATTTTTTTAAAAAGCTTACCCATACCCTTCTTTTTTTCATTATTCATATATAGATCAAACATTATCTATGAAGGAATTCAGATCAAAATTCAGTTAGCTTCAGGATTCCCCGTATATATATATATATATATATATATATATATATATATATATATATGTATGTATGCATGTATTGAACAATAAAAAATATTAAAAAAATAAAAACTTCAGACACACTGGGTTGTATAATTATATTCTTTCGTTTTTATTAATTCATTTAGATTCCTCGACTAGTTTCGGCCAACATGGCCATCATCACGAGAAAAGAAAATTCTGCTTGCTGGTAGCAGTGAACTACAGAAATGAATGTCTTGATGGAGAAAATGAACTTTTGTCTGTAGTTTTCATTTGTTTTTTTATATTTTTTTTTAGCATAAAGTTTGGTCAGCCTTGTGTTGGACAGTCTCTTTTAAGTTGTTATTTGAGACAAGAGCTGGATGGATACATGCTGCTCTGAATTCCCTTGGTGATTTTGATATATTTGTGTGTGTGTGTGTGTGTGGGTGAGGTTGTGTTTCAATATGTTTTTAGGTGTGGTTATGGTTGTGTGTATGTGCTTTGGCTTATTTCATTAATGATCAGTCCGTGTCCGATGGTTTACAGCTTTCTTTTACTAAAAAAAAATCCATTTTTCTCTTCTGTATTGACTTTCAAATAATGATGACCTAAAAACTTTTACAACATAATAAATTGAGAATATGTCAATAAAAGTCATTATCAATTTACCTTTTCAAAACGAAGAAAGAAATTTTCTATATTCATTTTTTTTCACAGTATTATATTACTCATTATTACAATTAATTATGAAAATTAGATTTGAATCTATTTCTTTGAAACCTTCTGCTAGATTCTAATATGGGAATTAAGGACATGAGCGATTTTCTCAGCTTGTGGCCCTGTCACTTCGAAACTCTAGGTGAATTTCTTTCAGGTAGAAGTTCCCTATTATAAATATTCTTTTTTATTATTGTCTGATTCCCTGGAAATTCAGAAAAAAATTCTGTAGCAAGAAAATTCAAATAGAACGAATAATTTTCCATTTCAATTTCCTTAAAATATGTCACAAGAAGTTTTCGTTTCAGTAAATATCATATTTTATTGATGTGTTTTCATGATCACTTTATATAAACTGGTTTTATTATTTTTAAATACTTCCAGAGAAAATTTAACGTTTTTATTACTTCCTTCATTAATTTATCTCTTTCAATTCAGACTATTTCCTTGAGGCAATTTATTTCACAGTGTAATCATTGCTCTTTTATCTTTACATTGAAGGACTTTTTTTTATAATTTCTGGTAAATGTCTTTCTATAGTAACTAAGAATTCTGTATCTTCTTAAATGTAATGTACACCAAAATACTTCTTATAATTTACACTTGAAGATGCGCAAGTAGTATCGAAAATGTTTACTGTCATCAGCCAAGCATTATATGTGGACGTCTACACTTACCAATCCTGTTTGCCTGACCTGAATCTAAAATACACTTCGATATTACAGTGTCCTTTTGATCAAGTTTTATTTGAAGTTGTTTATGCTGATAGTTAACGTGTCAGAGTGACAACAGACATCTTTTCTGCCTTTACAATGAAGTGGACACATTCTTATAACAAATGATCAGAGATTTGAATTAATTAAATGGCAAGATTTTTGTTGACTCGAACTAATCTTTCGTGTAAATATTTTATTTTTTTCTTATTTTGATTTTTCTTTCAAGTGCGTTGAGTGATAAATTATATTGTCTCAAAACATCTCTGCTTTTGCGGTTGATAACTCAATTCTGTTAAAGTGCAAACAGAAGACGAAATGATTTTCGGCAAAAACGGAAGTAATTTACATATTTTTCAGTCAGTGTTTTCGTTTATTTTTCGTATTTATTGAAGATGTCTTTCAAAAGAAAAATGAAGGTGGCTGCAGAATAGTATTTATTTCAATCATTCATTTTCTCCGGCTTTGTAGGTTATTTAAAGCCAGAAAATATTTTTAGATTTTAAGAATTTCTTTGCTTATGAGTTAGTGATACAAGTCTTACTAACCCATAGGTGGGGAAGAAGAAGTGTTCATACCTTTACAAACGGTATCTACCATTAAATGAATAAAACGAACTCAACTGGAATTAGAACTCAGCTCAGCGTTTAACAATTCCGAGCCCTTATCCATCACACCTCCCGAACATCGAAGCTTACAGTACTTATTATCCTGAGCGTTCACCCATCTAAGTACTAATCAGACTCGACATTGATTAACTTCGGTGATCGTACAGGAACCAGAGTTTCAATGTTATATGGTCATAATACATACATATATATATATATATATATATATATATATATATATATATATATATATATATATATATATATATATATATATAGCGAGAGAGAGACCAAACTTTTTTTTTTTTTTATATTCAGATATATATTTTACATTTTTAACTTTAAAAAAGACATTTCTTTAAAAGAAATTCTAATTGAATATTCACACACTTGCTTTAATCAAATATAACACAGAGATGTTCAATTTACAGGCTGGTTAATGTTATATTCTAGTGGATGTTATATTTGGAAAAAATGAACACAGGAAAGTAACATTTATATCAATTTTAAATATACGTAGACGAATACAATTTATTCAATTTTCCAATCACCCAAAGATATAGCAACAATTTAATGAATAGAAACATTTAAGCACGTTCATAGCAACCTGCTGACTTTCATTTCATGCATCAAGAAAGAAAACGTGAAAAATAAATAAAAGGAAATAAACCAATCTATGTGAAAAAATAAAAAAACTTAATTAAATAATAAATTAACAAACAAAAAATAAGCGGAAAAAATAAATGAATAAATAAAATTAACAAAAATTGTGTATTAATAAATAAAAAAAATACGTAAATAAGAAACAAGTTAACAAACTACAAATAAATACATAAATACAATGAATAAATGCAATAATAATAATAATCAACGAATAATTATAAATAATAAAATTCCTTTTTTTTTAGGAAATACTTCTCTAATAACAATTGAAGCGCATACATTAGTTTCACTACTCCAACATTGTCACGCCGATTAACATGTTACTTATCTGACAATGCTTTCATTAAAACAGATATCAACAAACAACACAAAGGAAAATCAAAACAGTAATCAGATAACGAAATGATGCACATAAATTGCAAGAGTAATTGCAATTGTTGGTAACATGAAAAGTCAATAAAATACTTCATCCAATACAAGGCACAAGAGTCACTAAAGGTAGAGCGTTAGTGAATTACATTGTTGTATGAATGTAAGAGAAAGAGGTAAGAAGTGCGGATTATAGGAACATTAAGAGAAAGAGGTATGAAGTGCGGATTATAGGAACATAGAAAAGATAATGGTAATTATGAACTTGAAGAGGTTAAGATTATTGGATGTGGCATGGTTGTTGGTGTCAAACAAACGGGTTTGAGGATTTAAGAAACCTGCTGATATGTTGATCTACTCGAATTTTCATGCACAATCATTTTTAGCGTTTCCAGGGAATGATTATAAAAAGAAAATAGCCGTTGCGTTGAATTTGTAGCAGAAATCGAGACTCTTCAAAATCTCGATTTCTGCTGCAAATTCAGGTCGTACACTTCGACTTGAATTTAGCGTAAAGAACATGTGAGCATAGACCCATCCTGCCTTGTGTAAACGGTTCAGACTGCAGCTGATGGTGGTGGTGCAATGGTATTGGGAATATTTCTTTGGTACCAATAAAACGTAATTTCTGCGTTCTATCTAGATAATGTGGCTGACTACACGACTCAATTGAGTCATGTAGTCAGCTACGGTCCACCCAGCCACTGGTAGCCATTTTTGTAGACAATACAAATCGAAAGTAGTGGCAGATTAGTTCATGGGGTACAGCAATGAGTTTTCTATGTTATATGGCCTCAACAATCAACCGATCTCTATTCCATAAACTACATTTGGGATGTGGTGGACAGAAAGATTCTAATCACGGATCTACAGCCAAAAAATGTTAACAATTGCAGGATACCATAGTAACAGCATGAACTCAAATTGCAAAAAAAGTAGTTCAAGAAAATTGATGAATCCCTGGCAAAAAGAATTGAGATAAAGGCAAAAAGAGGCCCAATCCGCTACTAGAAGATTATGAATAATAAAGTGACCTGAGTGTATTTACGTTTTATTTATCAAGTTAAATATTGTCAGGGATATTTCATCAAATTGATGCATCGATAATACTTCACCTATGCTTCTACTTCTCATGGTATCAATAGATTTTTAAATATAACACGTCAATAAAGTTTCCTTTTTAAAAAAAAAACAGAAGTGAGAGCTTAGAATTAAGACGAAACTGATGCAAAATATTAATCAGGTGGATATTAATGAAAAATAAAACAGTTATGTTATCTAGGAAATATTATAAATAGAATTCAAAGACTGGAACTTAGGTTCCTTACAGAGATAGACATCCGAACCTATCACCATAAATTCGTTTCCAAGAAAAAATCCACCTAAGAAAAAATTATGTTTAAAAAACGCTGTCAATTCAAATCACTTGATCACATCAATACTTTGAGAAGTTGTTTTGTTTTTTTTAAATTTTACATCTTTGCGACTTCAAGAAGAAAAAAGTCTTATTTTAAAAATATCAGAAAACTCATTCCAAATTTGCAGGATTTTCTGTCAGGATTTGTAATCAATAATAACGGATTTCACTGAAAACCCATATTGAAAGGACATTATTTCTATGGGATGTAGTCATTATTTTCCCAATTCTTAAAGGCTTGTTAAATACGTTTAACTATTTAGTTAAACTTATATCAGAGAGTTGAGAGCCTGGTTCGAAATGCTTCTTACTTTTCTTCTTCTGTTAAAGAAGGATTTAAGAAACCTGCTGATATGTTGATCTACTCGAATTTTCATGCACAATCATTTCTAGCGTTTACAGGGAATGATTAATAAATAAACAAATTACCAATCCACAGCTACGAAGTTTTAAGAAATATCAATGAACGATAAAAATTTCATAACAAATTTCGTAACCGCAATGACTTTTTAAAATCAACTGAGGCAATTTCATGCAATAATCTCTTCCGATGATTTTCAGCAAGTGTATACATGTTTACGATTTTGGAAAAGAAATAATTTTAATTATATTTTTTATCACGATTCCTTTGAAAAAAAAAAACTTTTTCAGTATTTTCCAAATCGAATGCATTTAACACTACCAATACTGACATATCATCATTAAAGATTTGATAGGTACACGTGATTTAAAAGTTACAGAGATTTTAAGATACAAAATGCAATGAAAAATTTAAAGTTGTATAGGTTCTTAGAAATAATAAATTCTTGAAAGGGAAAGAGAAATAATAAGAAATTAAGTAAGAATGTGAGCGGAATAGAAATTACCATTCTGCCATTAATTTGCTTCCAATCCGATCACAGTCTTGAAATGTCATATAAGTCCGGAGCCATTCTGTTAAATGAGTAGACGTAATTTCCTGCCTTTGTGTAAAGGCCTATTGAGGGTACATTATTGTAATTCATAATGCTCTCCTTGAACTAAGTTCATCAGTGGAATTGCCTAGTAATTTCGACATTGTAAGCCATATAATTAATTATTATAGAGTACCATAAATGTTTCCATTAGCCTCCTTTCCTTATCCATCAGGCACTATGGAAAACGTAATAATGTAATATAGGTAAGAAACGCGAAACCCAACGTTTAAAATGAATTTTTAAACATGAAAAGTCTTTCCGGGAGTTTTTATTTTAGTTTTAACTTCAATCTAATAAATTAAATTTAATATTTTCTATGGCAAAATATTTTGTTGTTTTTCAAAACTAATTTGTATTGACTGGAGTAGATTTTTTTTAATTGCTGACAAAATCCCTGATTTTAGTACCATTTTTAGCCATCTGTCAGCAGAACGTAATTCGTTAATTAAAAAATCTTTCAGAAAAATATTTTTCTGAAACTTTATTTGAGGAATATTTGCTGATTTAAAGTTTAATCAATCTGAATTGATGCAAATATTACTTACTTTTAGTTTAAAATATCGCATTTCTACGATATTTTAAACTAAAAGTAGGGGGAAGGCGTTTCTTTAAGTTATTGACAGCTTGACTGATAACCGGAAGTTTATCTAATGTCTTTTTCTACGAGGACATACTTGTAAAATTTACTTCAAGTGTTTTATGTGAGTTCCTCTTTCATATAATTTTTAACCACCCAATATTAGGAAAATATTCTCCGTAGTCTAATGCTTTATTGAATTTTAGATCTTGAAATTTACTATAGCTATCGCTCTTATTTTCTGATAATATCGTGTATGGACCTCCGTATTTACAAGAATCGTCACGTTTATACACACAAAAAAAGTTCTTTTAAAATATTGGGGTTCGCGGAATTGTAGTAAGCTTTCCATTTATCATTAGTAAATATCAATTTTACTTAATAACCATAATACCTAACTGGTATAAATTAACACAGAAATTTAAAAGATGTAAATCTTTATAAATTATTCTAATTGGAATTAAATAAACAAATGAAACCAATTCTTGTAAAAATTCATTATTCATCGATTTTTTAAGACAATCTCGTTCATAATATGTCTTATTCATGAAAGCAATTAAAACATTTTCTAATTAAATAATGTCTTATTACTGATATTTTTAAAATTTACGATTCAGAGCAGATTTTCGGTAGCTGGTGTTTCTGTTTTACAAAACTTTTCCAAGGAGTTTTACTTTTAACTAATATAAATATTATGGGGGAAAAATAATTTCTCGAAAATTTCATAAAATTAAATAAGTGGGGTTGTGGGTAACAGATGTAAAAAAATATTTTTTGTCAAGATTTTCAAAAAAAAAAAAAAAAATTAAATAATTTAATTCATTTGGGGATAAGTCCAGAAAGTTTCATTAAAATCCGACAATGATTTTATTTTTCTATAATTTCCAAATCAACTTGTTTTTAATCGCAAAATAACGCTTTAATTACCTACATTAATCCCCACCCCCAAATCAACAGACACAAGAAAAACAAAATTTTCAAAATTTTGAACGTTCTAAAAAGGATAAAAAAAAAAAATTTAATAAGTAAAAAGTAATTTAGTTTTTCGTCTTCAAAATAACAAAGATTTTGAAGATAGAAGTTTCTTTTTATTAAGTTTCTCATCATGGTACGTTCATTATGTAACGAATCTGTGGAGGTACGTAATATAATATAATCAAGTAAAATCTGATACGACTGATTCTAAAGCTAATAATGAAGGAAACATAGGAG